TGCTGATGTTCCTGTTGCTGTTCAACGTAATTTTTTTATGCTATTAATGCTCAGTGTATATTTAGTTGATGTTTTTCTTAGTTCATATCTTAGATCTTATCATTGTTTTTCTTATACATTTTAGTGTTGGATGTAACTGGGACCCTGTGTACATAATTTTGCTCCACCACATGTACCACATGTGGTGCGAACGACAATAAAGAATCTCTGATATATATATATATATATATATATATATATATATATATATATATATATAACTACTACTATTTACATCTTAATTTAAATTACGTGATTTCTTAGAATTCAGCAGGTTGTAATTTAACCTTTGACAACTTGAATTAACTTGATTTAAAACAGTCTCTGATTTTCAGAAAAGAATAGTGTTTTCAAGGAGTAGCTTCAAATTTTTACAAACATTTCTACACTTTTTAAAACCGTAATCATTTGAAGGTTTTAAAAATCACGTACTGGTGACATTAGTAAAAAAAAAAAAAAAATCCAACAAATTAAAAAACCCAATGTTGTGGAACTATATTATCTCTAGGTGTGAGTGAGAGAGTGAATGGTTGTTTGTCTCGTTTGTCTCCATGTGTCCCTGTGAGGGACTGGAGACTTGTCCAGGGTGTCCCCTGCCCCTCACCCACTGACCACTGGAGTCAGACACCAGCGTCAGATCACCATTAGGTGATAATGGTGATACTAAATGGAAAAGTGGGTAAAGAAAATGGATGAAGAATATATGAGAAAATACAATTAAAATAATTTTAAGACTTCCTGTCCCAAAATGATCTTGTTTAATGGTCACAATACCAGTAGACCTCTAAAACTGAGGCTACAGTTCTCAACTGGAAAAGGGATGTTCCGTCTGGGTTAGAGATGAACGTTCACCTCAAGGAATTCAAATGTCTTGGTTCACTAGTGATGGTAGGATGGAGCGGGAGATGTACTGTAGATTGGATTCTCATCCACAAGAATGAGTTGCTCTGGTCCCTCAATGTGACAAAAAGTTCACGTAATAGGCAAAGCTCTTAATTTACTATTCCAACACTCACTGGTCATAAGTTATGAATCGTGACCAAAAGATCAAGACCTCGGATGCAAGCAGCTGAAATGAGCTGCCTCTGCAGGGAGGCCGCGCCCAGACTTACAGGTGAGGAGCTTCATCATCTGGGGAGAGCTCAGATTAAATCTGCTGCCCCACTTTGATAGGAGTCAGCAGGTGGTTCAGCCCCATCCAACTGGGAGGACACCCCAGAACTTTCTGTAGGGATCTTATATCTTCTCTGGCCTGGGAATGTCTTCCGCAGGAGGAGATGGGGAGTGCTGCTGGGGAGAAGGGCGTCTAGGTTTCCTTCCTGGACCTGTTTTCTCTGTGATGTGGTGACAGATAAGCTGTAGGAAATGGATGGATGATTGACAGAAGACATGTTTCTTGTCATGGTTTGGGGTTACCCTGGGGTGTTGCAGTGCTAGACTTAAATAATGGAAGTTCATCAGTCCAAAAGTTGATGCTGTCAACGTTTCACCATCAAGAAAGTCCTCAGCACACAGAAACCCACGAGGATTGACTTAAGAAAAGAAGGAACTAGAGCAGGACAAATCAACTGGTGGCCCAGGGGGCAAATCAGGCCCACAGGTGATCTCAGTTTGGCCCACCAATGGGTTCGTTTTTAAATAAAACGGAATGTTAAATCGTGAAACAACCTTACTTTATGAGAAGAACGTCCGCCCCTGAGCTCTTGACTTTCAGTATGTGGCCACCTGAGCAGTTAGTTGAATAGCCCTGGTCTAGAGGATTTGAATCTGTTTGTGGGGTTTAAACAGACAGTACTGGCAACAACACCTGAACTTCACTAAACTTTAAAGAGTTGCACAGTTAAAAAGTGGACAACAGTCATTTCTTAAACTAACTTTAAGCGGTGAACGGGTCTTAAAACGAGTCAAACTTCCTTGCAGAAAGCAGCGATGGCTTCACAAACCGATGTTGTCAATAAGCGATGTTCCCAAGCTGAGCGTTTGGTGAATAATTTATGAGAAAAGTGCTGCTTCTGCAGTCGGGCAGGCCGCCATGCCTACTTAATAATGAGGGGCATGACCTGCTGTTATACAGCTGAGGAGAACATTTTGGCAGCGACGATCAAAACAAAACTTCAGAGAGCGTGAACGGCTTCTTCAAAAGGGTTCGGGAAAGTGGAGTGTAACGCAAACGACCCATGGTGGACGTGAACGGTAGAGAGCTTTGCTTTGCTCCACATCCTTCCTATGACAGTAGCTCTGCGGACCTGGAATCTGTTTCCTGACCTGCGGATGGGCCAAGTAGACTGCTGGCACTTCAAGGACGGGTCCTTGAGCTTTTTGGGGGTGGGGTTGTCTCTCAGGAGCCAGCAGGATTATTCAACTCCTTTTCATCTGACACAGCAGAGGCCGTCCTTCATTAAACTCATTGTTAACCACTGTCTGAATGCGAGCAGCGTCTCATTAAACAGGTGTTTTTATTTGAGTGAATTCACAACATTATCTGTTTTATATTCGTAAGGAGGTTTGGTAACTCCCTGACCAAAGCTTTGCATCGACAATCAGCACGATTTAGAAGTGTGTTTATTTTCCCCTGAATCCGAGGGGCGCTTAAGGGCTGAAACCAGGGGAACGTTTTAATTACAACCATTCAATCACAACATTGTGTTGCAGGGACAGAGAGCTGGATGGCCATAAGGGAAGGAAACACACGCTCGCAATAAAATGCAAAAGATCCCACACACTGTAGGTTCTTCCAAACTCAGAAATAAGTAAAAAAACAAAGACTACAGAAAACTAGAGAAATTGCATTTCCTGTGAAAATGCAGTGTGAATGCTTATTGCAGAAGAACTTGCTGAAAAACAGCTGAAATTAGCTCAAAACCTGCTGAAATGGAATAACAAGCCTAACTTAGCGGAAGAAAGCAGAAAGAACTCATATGTACATGCGACCCTGTGTACATAATTTCGCTCCACCACATGTACCACATGAGGTG